TCGAGGCTAATCGCTCCCTCTATGAGCAACAGCAGGCCTCTTCCAAGTAAGGAGGACAGTGCAGGGTCATCAGGATGGAGGCAACTACGTCACCTCCCTCGATTCTGAACCCAACGCCAACTTCTGCCCCCGGAGACATAATCTGACGGGAAGGATTCACCAAGCATCTGGACAACACTCGACGACCATCAGTTATGCCTACTTTGGCTTTATTATTTGGTTTTCCTTCATGTCATGTTACATTTTTGTGAAAATCTACATGTATCAATTTGATGTGAATGAATACCAACATCTCCCGAGCACCTCGAGGAGGATATTCCCGAATCACTTGGGGGTTGGCTATATCCGATCGACCCAGCTACAACACCTGTAGTCATTACGATCGAGGGTTACACTAACCTACCATCATGATCAGAGACTACAGAAACCATCTTACGAACCGCACACCTACCCCCTTTTATCCCTGTTGACGGTAGTTAACAACCATTATAAACCGTCAATATAACATGTATAAGGGCACAAATATAATCACCAATGAAGGTTTAGGGGTTTAAACTAACAAATTCCACGAGTTTTGATGATTCTATATTTTCTACATGGTTTATTCAGAAAACTATCAAGGTGGACCTACATGTCAGACTTAATTACGCTTATCTGCAGCGAAACGGACACCAGAAGACTCGAGAGGACTCCACACCAAAGCAGAGGATGATACACTGCTAGGTGGGGCTAGCTGGCCCCACCTATAAGGCGCCCAGCCCCTAGGGCCCACCTGTCAGCCCCTCGTTGCAATGCCGGTTCTCCACCTCCTCCTAGGTTGCATCTATGTTGTCCTTTAAGTCGGTTTGATCCAAGGGCTCACGTTGGATGCTCTAGCCTATATATATCAGCCCCTGACCCCTGAAGGCATAAGTCATTTGAGAAGACAGAAACCCTAATCATCCTCAGAGCTCCACCATATTCTAGGGCTTAGCTAGTTAGGCTAGGTCTAGAGGGAGGCAAGCAGGCTTCAGTTGGATTTCCAATCTTGCCAAGAGCCTCGTTCAGTATAATCTTTGTACCCCCTCTCTTTTGTATCTCCATTACTTTTATATGCTAGTTACAATTGTTATGACAATATTAGTATTCATCTTATTCATGTTTTTGTTATAATGTTCATCGTCTACTTTGGTTATATGCTTAGTATAGCTAGTTTATCATTATATCCATGCATAAGTTCGTATAGCACTCGCTCCGCTGCGCACGGGGTGAGTGGTCGACATTGTGTAAGCGTGGTGCTTATACATTGTTTACCTATGGATACACCCTATATTCTAGGTCATGTGGTAGATCGCGGATGTGACACTCCCGCTGAGTCCATTTTAGTCCACTCCCCGAATATAGGCACATGTAGGGTCCGGTTATGAAGGAAGAGCAAGCTCTATTCTTAATCTTCCTTAGTAATATCCCTTATGTGTAGATATGAGGATGATGTCAGCAATGACTACTAGGTATAATTGCACTAATCAATGTATGCTTTGACTTGTAATTAAGAATAACTTAGGAATTATTCCTCTAATATTCTACCTGACCATGCTAATGCCATAGAAAGGAGTACTCTAAGTGATTTATCATTATTATTGATTAATACTTATCATATATATCTTATCATATGACTTACCCCAGTTATGACTAAAACATTGGTTATGGTTTATTTCTCCTTCAATAGTATAAGTTATCAATACATGTCCATGCTAGACCTTTCCCTATGGTAAAAATATAAATAACGATACCTAGAATACTCTCAGGTAAATTGCTATAATGGTATACTATCTATGCGCTTGCAGATCCTTTTTATTCATATATTTATATATTCTTTCTAGTCACATGAAATGATAAAGAACTACTTAGTATTATTCTAGTAGTAATGCTATGTAGTACTACAAACATCTCTAGCATCATAACTTGGGATGACAACCTAGTAAAGTAATGTTAGGAGATATAGGTTTATGATAGGTGGCTACTTAAAACAAGTGACACGTTAATAAATACCAACAGTCCCTTTCGCTTGTTGGAGTCTCATATACCTTGAAATGGTATAAGCGACTTAACAAGACCTTGCGCGAACTCCATCAAAACATTTCGTTCTGGTTGAATAATCCCTAGGTAGTTAGTCTAAAAGCTTAAACCAGCATCAAACACTAAAGACGAAGAAAGATGAAAGACGAAAGACAAAAAAGCATGCAGACCGTGCAAAATGTAAGATTGTTATGGGCGATATCGACCCGATCCAGACAAACTGGGTGAACCATCCCGACCGCCAAACAAGGCTCAGGCTCAGGCTCAACGCGCCAACGGCGCTACTCATGACTAAGTCTAGCACCCAAAGATCATTGTGGTGCTCTAGGTCTGGGCCAGTTTTAACTCGATCGAGCACCCTAATCCTAAAAATCTCATGAGATACCTACGGATCGTGAAATCAACGTCGGCACATCTATGCTAACCGATCGATATGCCACCCAAAGCATGACTACAACTAGTCTATCATTGTTTGAACAGAACACCCGGGCACTAATTGTGCACGACAATACTTGTCGCGGGACGATCTCAAAACGATTATCTGCCCTACAAAAGTAGAGAAGTGCCATATGGGTTCATGATGATTGTGAAATGGCTCCAACCCTCGGGTACGTCACGTTGACCCACTCGAGCGTTTGGGGGCTACTATTACCACAAACAATCACCATGCGAAGAGGATTTGATTTGCAAAAGCATCGAGAAACTACAAGATCCAAACTTCATTACACCTTCTTTTTACAAAGAGGTAAAAAATCTACTCTCAAAGGGGGCGTCCTTGATGATTTGATCCACATCGACAACGGTGGCAATCGCCTCAGCGTAGCCGCTGAATCCGGCAATTAGTCGACTAACATCAACGTCGTCGGGAATCTCTTCCATCGTCAGGAACCTAGTTGTCACCTTGCGCAGATCCATATTATGATGAAGTTAGAGATGAGCTGCAGTCAAGGCTCCCGTGGCTCCATGATGGACCCCATGAGCCACCACCTCCCGGATCTACGTCGGGAGATAGTGGACTCGATCGGGAACGCTCGTCCCTACCAGCAACACCATTGTGATGGCAACAATCGCTGCGTCACGAAGCGTCGAGTGACGCTCATTGCTGGACTGCGCTAGGACAGTGGAGGAACGAGCCCAGGTGGTCGCCTTGTTCTACTCACGAGCAGCCTCCACCAATAGCCCAGCCAAATCCTCACTGGCCCGCCGTAGCTCTGCCACTTTGGCTTGCGCGGCAGTCAGTTGCTCCTTAACACCTAGGAAGAAGGGGAAAAAGATTAGAACTACCCTAGCTAGAATGGATAAAACCTGAAGAAGGTGGAATCCTACTTACCGGCGAGCTTCGCCTAGGTCTCCATCGCAGCGGCCTTGGCCTCATTGGCCTCCCCATTCATGGCATCAAGCGCTGCCCTTGCGATCGAGATATGCTCTCAGTCGCCTCACCTCCTAAGTGACATCATGAAGGGCCCAAATTTTGCATATAAATTACCACCTCCGTCACTATAAAGATAAATGTAAAGTAAATCCTAAGTTTGCATTCAAATTACCCACTACGTCATTATGAATGAAAGATAATACAAATTAATACCTTTAACTTGTATCAAAATTATCCACCTATGGCATTATAAAAAAAGTACATTATATACTCCATTGGAAAATAGTTCACTTTATATTGCATTAATACTCCATAACAATAATTTTTATAATTTTTTATTTTCAATAATTTTATACATTTTAACTGAAATATTATGCCATCAATACTAGTAATTTAATTTTAGGACTATGATTTCAAAACATTACTACTACACATATAACTCTTCAATATAGCTGATTCAACATCTTGAGTTTGGCGGCACAGGTTGAACTGTTGTTTTGTTATTGTAGTAATTAACTATGAGTATTGTCGTAGCCCTAAGAGTTCTGCAACAGGCAATTTGGAGTAACATGCACCATTCCATCTTTCATTTTCAATTGCATAGGGACATCCCATACATACAAGGTTTTACCCTGATGCAACGGCCTAAAAGCGTTGCAATATAATAAAAATGGTTGCGATAGACAAAATTGCAACACTTTTTTTTCGTTGGCAGGCGTTGCCATAGTAACCATGGCAAAAGGTTTGCCCAACGACTCATTTTGGTGTTGCAATAAGTTTTCCTCTATTGCAACACCAAGGAGTGTTGTTGCAACGCTATGTAGTGTTGCAACCCATAGTATAGGCAACCATCGTGGGTGTTGCAATAGTTACTATTGCAACACACCAGGTGTTGCCAGAAATACCTATTGCCACGTACCCAAAGCGTGGCAATAGGTGCACTAGCAACGACAATGGGTGTTGCAATAGACCTTATTGCCACACATCAATAACATTGCAATAGATAGACCCTCTATTGCCACGCTATCTCGGTGGTTGCTATAGGTGGAACCTCTATTGCCATGATAAATATTTGGTTGCTAGAGGTAGCCTCTCTATTGCCACACTAAACATTGTGGTTGCTATAGGTGCATCCGTCTATTGCCACGATAAATGTTTGGTTGCTAGAGGTTACCTCTCTATTGCCACACTAAACATTGTGGTTGCTATAGGTGCAACCGTCTATTGCCACGATAAATGTTTGTTGCTATATCACATATTGCAACGCCAAATTATTATGTCGATAGTCCATATTGCAACGCCTTATTTGCTTCAAACAATAATTGCATGCCGAATAATATATGATGAAAGAAACATTTAGACATCCATTAATCCAAAATATGCTTTGTTCGTACAACTGAAACACATAAGGTATCCGACTCATAGTAGCTAGTTTGAACACATCAAAATGTAATGAACTAGGTCTAGCACTGTAGCAAAGGTTGGCTTGGCATTGACCATCCCATCACTTGTGCGCTCCACTCAAACTCTATCTTGCTCCGACCAGTACTTGTACCTTCCGTTGTGGTAGCTACGAGTTGTGTTTGTGGCGGGCTGCTATCTTGGTTTTCCTGCAAATCAATAGATGGAGGGAAAATTAGGCCCCATACTAAGGACTATCACATGACAACATTAAACACTCTTCAGTTCTCAAACTACAAACATTGAGTTTGAGGACAAAAGAAATACAATGATCTCTACATTGTATGAGCAATATTGTGAACAAAATTTTAAGCATCTTGTACATGTTACGCTGCTACCTAGAAAACGATATACCACACTACTCAAGTGCATCTTGTACAAGTAACCTTATAACATGGCAGGTAACTATCCTTGGCACTTTTACCACTAAAGGCATGACAAAAAAATCCTCTTGAGTCCATAACAGTCACTCCACTATAGTTTTGTACAACACACTTTTGAGTCCATAACTTTGTCTAATACAAAAAAAATCCAAGATACCAACCTAGTAGCAGCACCATGCATGTAGCGTGGATGCAAAAAGAGTTGTGCGGTTCCCCACAATGGCTTGATATTGGTCTCATCCTACATTTAGTTCAGATGAAACAGAAAATTGAGCAAACAGAGAAATGCACTACACTTTCGTACAGCCCAAGTGCTAGCAACTTAGATTACACTAACCTGGAGCATACCAATGTAGTTAGCTTCCACATCAACGATGCCTAGGATCAAGTAGTAGTACCATTTGATCTGCAGGAACAGAATGTGGAAAACATGTCAGGCTTTCCTTAGATAGTAGCATTCACATTACTGAATAATCACATAAACATTGTGGCGACGAAAGCCCAAATAACTTATAAAGAACAGAATAAGAATACGCATAAATACATTGGTGGCCATTGGTCCTGGTTAGCAGGGCACATACACTGAACGTGAATTATATTGTACATGCATCAATCATACAAGAGAAACAGTACCACACAAACTTCTGGCCCATGGGAATAATTTAAAGGCTGGGCATGTGCTCAAACCCAAAAATAGCATCTCAACTTTTGATCATAACTTCTAAAGAGATTGCTCTCGTGTCCTGAAAACTAAAATAGCATCTCAACAGGTGATCATAACTTTTGAGACTGTATAATACTTCATTACTTCAGTCTGTTGTTTTTTTATTCTACTGTATGAATTGATGTGTAGTATAAGCAATAATAATAGTTCATGATTAGTATCTTTTAGAACGGACAAAATTTAAGATTAGCTTCAATTTCCCCAGTTACATTTCCATGTGTTGGAAAAGCAGCATCCAGACATACCGTCATATGTTGCCTTTTGTATAGCAGTGTTCCACCATAAACAAGTGCAAGAAGGATGTAATTCAGCAATGACTGTGATGTAGGTGCATTGACACCTGAAAAAAGAAACCCTTATGATTCAGCATTATCTTCAGTATTTTTCAATCCACACAGTTCTCAACCATCTGTCATCTGAACATGGTCATACGATTTTGTTTTTTTTTCGGAACACGGAAAGAAATGGGACAAACATGGCAGTCCAAGCTACAGGAGCCAAATGACAGGTCTCAGCCTAACATGAAGAACCAGTAACCAAAATCACGGCACAATTGAAGACGCGGCTAACTGGGAAAAAAAAAGGAGTGCCTTTTATGTTCAAAACGATAATAAGATCCAGTATTTTTGCAGCAGTGCTAGTCCGCCAAGAAGTTCTACCCTAGGAAGGATACAGGTTGCAAAGCATCACCGGCATATGGGAACAGAAAAAGACAGGGGCGGCGCAGCGTACCTCGGCGAGCAAGCTCGGAGGAGGCGAAGCCGGTGGAGGTGATGAGCAGCGAGACGAACTGTCCCAGCGCCGCCATGTGTTAGAATAGAGAAGCAGAACCACAGATGGATTGATAACATTTGGTGTTGTAGAAAAACAATTGAGTGGCTATTGAGCAATACATATTTGCAGTCCCAGCCCTGCATCTCCTTAATTTAAAGCGGGGGTGCGGCCTGCTCCTTCCCGTGAAGTTTTTTTTTTTAAAAAGTAATATGGCATTAAAATTCAGGAATGCCCCATTTCATTTTAGAAGACAAACCCTAAATCTGAAGTATGTGCATGTTCTGTTACTTCAAGCTTATCAAATGCATGTATTACTAAGAAAAGCTGTAGTGTAAGAAAATACTAAGTTACTAGTAATTAAAGATATCAAAATAAAATTCAGATTCCACACTGGAAGTTGCAGTAATAAACACACCCACCCACCCACCCACCATAATTTTCTTTGACAACACATTCCATTACTAGGCATACTCCTCGTGAGTTTCATAGTTGCTAAGAGTACTTCAGATCCTGCCATCCAAAGGAGATAAGCAATACATGACTTAAAGGAATATTGCTTGAACAGACTTCACACATAGACACAGATTCAATAGCAAAATGCACACAAGGACTTAAAGACTAAGATAGTGTCACCTCTATAGAATGTGTTGACATTTTGTAGAGACTACAGTATTCTAATTTAGTATACAAGCTGACACGAATTCTTTGTATAGTACACTGCCGTGGCACTATATTTAAGATTAGCACAAACTTCAAAAAGCAAATAAAAGAAAATACAGAAAACAAACAAATGCAAAATTAAGTACTCACAGCTCTTGTAGGGACTATGCACTGGTAGTCATCTAACTCAGGAGATGAAAACACTTGGGGTTGATGGTCCAACATAACATACCACAACCAGGCTTAAAGGGTTCTCCCCAATCCAAACCTCATCAGGGTACTCAGTTACCGGCACACTCTGTCAGTACTACCATTCCAGTTAAGACCACCTTCCCTCAAGAGCAGCATGCAGAGGAAAAAGAATTAATGGCATCAATCAGATATAGCAGGAATTCAATTAGGCAAAATAATACAAACAACATACTAGCTAGAATGCATAAATGTGATGGACATAGGATCGATGATATGGTAGAGAAAACTTGATAGGAACAGCTAGCAGCAGACCTTGTAGTCTCTGAATTATAGCTTTCAGAAACTTACCACTGCAAACTTAGTTCATCAATGGCACAATGGAACCCCTACTAGACTATGAATCTGAGAGACCAATGGAGCCCACAAAAGAAGGATGCAAGGTAAAAATACTGCCCAAAAACATACCAGAGCAATTTGCAAGCGAATGGTTTAGTAGAAGCCCAATCCCACATGGCTACGCACAGAATCAGACGATACCAATTTGCACATGGATCTGAGAACAGCTCGGAGGGATGGAAGAATCTCTCGGATCCGACGATGCGCCAGGCAGGACCGCAGGATGACGACGGGTCCGGAGTGGCGGCGGATCTCCGGAGAGGAAGGCGCGCGCGGGGGGGCGAGGTGGCTGGGGGGGGGGCTGGCGGTGCCGCGACGATGGGCGGCCGGCGGCGCGCGCGAGCGCCGCCCACGGGCGAGGGAGCACGGGCGGTGGGCGGGGGGCGGCGGGTGGGGGGCACTGGTGGCGCCGCGAGGGGTACGGCCAGGGGACAGATAGGTAGGGTTGAAACGTGGAGGAGCTGGGCCTTAGAATGGTTTTGTAGATCTATTTTATGCTAGTTGAGATCTTGATCGTTGTTTTGTAGATGAACGGTTATGAGGAGCTGGGCCTTAGAAGAAACGTCTCGGGACAGGATATTTCAGCCCGTTTAACAAAATAAATCAACATGTTTATTGTTTAAACAGAAATACATTTAAATTAAAAAATTCTTATGAGGAGCAAAATTTCCAAGCAGGAGCAAAATTTTAATTTTGTTGAGAATTTGAATTTAATGAAATGTATTATATCCATGAACTTTCCACATTGTATGAAATGTAATTAAATATCATGGTTTGTATACATGGTTTAACTTTCCCATGTACTCTTAATTTTGAATTTTCTTTTGCCAGACCTATGATGGGAGAAATTTTCATTTGGATGGAATCGCTTTATATTTGAACATTGACAGTGCATGTTACATGCTATGTTTTGAGCTTGATGTTGACAATGGCTATCTAGGTGACACTAATTCGGAATAAGTGACATAGATGTGCTCATCCAGAAAACTACAATGCAAGTATCACAAATGAACGCGATTTATACCATGAGGGTGCGATCAGAACCACTGGATTGGCGATAGACGGCTAGAAATAGTTGGGCCATTTGGGCTAAAATGGGCTTGGTTCATTCTTTCTCTACTTAATGTTTTTCTTTTTCTTTTTTCATTTTATTGCACCATTGCTAGGGATAATTCAAACTTCTAGTTGCAACCTTATTATAAAATAATGGTAATAATATCTAAAACTTCTCTGAAAAATCTGAAAATTGCCATACAATCAATTTATTGACGTATAAGCTTGACATAAAAGTTTCATAAGATTTTACAAAAATTAGAGTGTACGTTGTTCACAAAATGGATAGACCTCTCACATTGTTTCATACAACTCAAGTCCAACTTTGAGATTTGAATACCTTGTAATATGTTCGAACTCGTATGCACCTCAAAATTGGACACAACCTTACCTTTACCATGCTGTTGATATTTGTGGATTTACATTGCCACTTGTTGTGCAAAAAAGTTATTTTTCTATTTTTTAACTAACTAATTAATACACCCTTGTGAAGTAACTTGCAAAATAATTATTTTATATACCCCTAATTATATTTTTACATGTAATAGACAACATTTAAGTTGTCATGTAGGAGTTTCAAGAATTTTTTAACAGATTTAGTATTTTCTATCATTTAAATGAATTTCTACACGCTTATCGAAAGTAATTCCAAGTTGAACTATGTGTACCTCCAATAAGATTCAAAAAATGCACGCGGTAGCGTGCTCGAGCGGCGATGCGCGTGGACGGCGTGGTCAGGCGCTGGCGGCGAGTTGTTGGCGCGGCACGGCGGCGTCGAGGCGCGTCGGGCGTGGTGACGACGGCCAGATGGTAATATAAAGGCTGCTTAATGTCGAACACACCTCACCTCAGTACCCCAGTGGTAGATGAGGGTTTACTTGTCCTTTAGTTCCTGGGATCAAATCCTCCAAGGAGCATTTTTTTTGTTAATAGAATTTTTTTTGTCTATTGCAACCATTTTTTGTATATTGCACACTTTTAGGCCGTTGCATTAGGGGTAGTCTACTGCGTGGAGCATTTTGTCTATTGCAACCATTTTTGGTACATTGCAACACTTTTAGGCTATTGCATCAGAGCGGGTCCCACTGGCTGGATTCCCGCGCAGCCAGTATTTGCTCCCGTGCAGGTGTGAATGAAATGGTGCGGTGAGCGGCGCAGGCCGCGGGGCTGGTGACGTGGTCCGGCCAGTCCTATGCCTCCACGTCGGTACGGTGGGCCCCGTGGTCAGCGACGAAGACAGAACCGCTTGCCATGCATGTCATCACGTGTTCGTTCTTTTTCTTTTTTTTCTTCTAGAATTTTTATGAACTTCTACAATTTTGAAATAGTAGATAATTTTTAATGCAAAAGTCGTCAAAATAAAAGTTGTAGAACCCACTGAGATCTACCATTTTGGTTTTGGTCCTTTCTCCATCCGACTTTGTTTCAACAATTCAAAATTTGAATTTTAAAATATAAGAATTCAAATAGAATTTTGGGATAGTAAATGATTTCAAATGAAAACGTTATCAACAACAAAGTTGTAGAAATCATAAAGATTTACAACTTTTATTTTGGTCATTTCTTTATCCAACTTTGTTTGAATAATTCAAAATTTGAATTTTAAAACATGAGAGCTTCAAACATATTTTTGGGACAGTTAATGATTTCAAATGAAAAAGTCGTCAACAACAAAGTTGTACAACCCAACGTGATCTACAACTCTTGTATTGGTAATTTCTCCATCCGACAAAATGGTAGTATACATTGTTCACAATTGGGTACATCTTTCATATTAATCACTTATAACTATGTGAGAGATGTATCAATTTGTGAACAATGTCTATTGCCACCTTGTTAAAATCATTTGAGTTTTTTATATGATGATTAGATAACAAAAACATGTTACCATGCAAAATTGTAGAATTTTCTGACAAAATTTAGAATTATTACAATTATGTTATCTTAATTTAGGAATAGAAGGATGAATTATCCCTAGCAAACAAATGTTTTTCCCAAACAACTCTGGGATATGGGATAGAGTGAAATCTATGACTATAAATATGTTCTTTGTAAATTTTGTTGACTCCTATTGGAGGCACGCACAGTACAATTTGGAATTACTTTCGGTATGCACGCAGAAATTTATTTAAAAGATAGAAAATATCAAATGAGTTCCAATTTTTTTGAAACTCCTACACAACAACATATACGTAGGCTATTGCTTGTTAAAAAAGTTTTAGAAATACCAACTATTACGAATAGAAATACCAACTATTCATGTGTTTTTCATTCCAAATCAGTTCATCTAACTGGACGGAATTAGTACTTGGAAGAAAATTCCCCCAACTTGGCACAAACACTTTCTGTAGCATGGTGGTTAGACTTCCTTGGTTCCTTGTCGAGGTCCTGGGTTGGAGTCTCAACTAAGGAATACATTTTTTCCGATTTAATTTCTCTATTCTCTCACTGACATGTTAAGAACAATGTATGCCGAAGCAAGTCACAAACAACGAAGTGGTGTGGTGGTACGGTGCGCTTGGCTTTAGTCCGAGGTCTTGGGTTCAATTCCTTTGGCTAGCATCTTTTTTCGCCCTTTTCACGTCAATTCCCTTGGCAGATGGGCTCCAGCTTGCAGCTGGCGCCAGCAGGCCTGCTCGGACCAGGCGCAAGCGTGCAGCCTAGCCCATATTTTTTTGGTTTTGAATTTCAAATGATTGGACCAAACATGTATAAGGAAACATGCCAAAAAAA